ATGGGCACACAGGTGAGGAGGAGAAGAGCAGGAGAGATGGGCACACAGGTGACGCGAGGATATCACTGAGCCACCACTTCCCATTACAGAATTCATCCCAGAAGAGGGAAGCTAGAAACAGGAAGCTAGTAAGTGAACTTGAGGGTCCTGGCTGTCTAGACAGCCAAGTGATGTAAAGAGAAGCCTAAACAGCAAAGCAAATAAGGAAGCAGACCCTGTGTGGAGACCAACAGACTAGGAGCGAAGAACAGCACCCCAACGACCAGAGACAGACGACAGGCCACGCTCGGGAACCATGAGGGCACTGCAGAGACAAAGGGAAACTAGTAACAGACAGGAGACAACAAATAACAAACTGAGAACAAGTAAATAAACAAGAACTGAAACAGAACCAGAATAAGGTAAGAAACATGAGACTAAGTTCAAGAAAAAACCCAGTGTAGGCCAGAGCTCTAACTAAAAGTATACAAGACAGAGCACTGAGGGGACGGAGCTCAGTTTATATAGAGTGGAGGAGGGGAGGCGTGGAGCCCTGGATACACTGGTCAGTTCGTGACTGGCTACAGCCTTCTGCAAAGTCTGCGCCTCTACTGCGCAGCTGGGCCAGCAGCCGGAGCCTGTGGTGCCCTCTGGTGGCGAGAAGGGGGAATCGTAGCGCTGGTCAGTTGTTTTTTTGTGACAGCAGCAGAGCTCAGAAACAAGAGCAGGGTGCCTGTTCAAAGAATCATTGATGATATTAGTAGCAGACAAAAATCAACAAGGAGTATTACCTGGCTATATCTGTCCTGCCTATGCCAAATGGATTCATGCCAATCATTTCCCAGTATGAGCTGAGTCAATTACAGTGTTTTCCAAACTGGCTAGGTCTCAGTCCTATGTCTCTATATACATAATTGAGAATATCATACTTACATATATGTATGTATACACACCTGAAGAAGGCTCCACGGCCGAAACGTTGTGTTCTCTTTCTTCTTTTTTTCAGCATGGAATAAACCTATTACTTGTTCCTTTGCAGCCTACGCATGCTGACGCAGCTACCCACCTGAACTACATACATACATATATATTACTATGTCTATATATACTTAGAAACAAGTAGTAGAGATTAATGCCAGTCTGAAATGTAGAAAGGTAAAAAAACATTATCTCATCTACTAAGCCTGGAGAAGGTTTAGCAGCTGAGACGTTGTTTCTTCGACCTGTTCCTTTGCAGCTCCCCGCTCCTGTCCCTGAGTCTGGATCCAGCTCTCTGCACACACGGCGTCTGTAGCCTCTCCCTCCCAGGCCCACGCACACACCTCCACCTCCCAGCGGTCCCAGCGTCTGTGCCCTTGGCTCCCGGCGGAGTGGCGCGTTTTTAAAACCTTCCCCTTGGGACTGGAGGCCCGGTTGTCACGCCCTCTGCAGCCAGAGGGCGCTCCTTCTCTGTCCTGTCCCTAGTTTCCGGTCTGCTGTCCTTCCTGTCCCTCTCTTTCCCGTGGGCTATATATTTCCGGGTCTTGCACTCTGTCCTCGCTCAGCATTGACGTTCGGATGTCCTGAGACCCGCCTAGCATCAGGGCGCCCCACGTCCGCTCCCTGAGGGCAGAGGTTTCTATACGGCACTCCTGAACTCTTTGCACTAATGAGCCCGGGCCTTTTTCCAGTCTCGCCGCTACGCATATGGGTCTTTTTCCACTCTCCTGCTCCCCACGGTTAGTCCCTTTGGACGTCCGTGACACCGGTGTGTGCTGCCCCCTTGGACTTTCCACTCCCAACCTGTCTAATGATCCTGCTGGTCTGCGTCGGGTCCACAGGACCCGACGTTGGCCTTTGAGCCACGTGTGCTGTGAACTGCCCACAGAAATGCGGCAGTCCTAGCCCTTAGAAATGTCTAAATAATGTCTAAATCTCACCTTACTCCTGGCGTGAGTAAACTGAAGGACTTTTATTTACCGTTTTGCAGGAGCCTTTCTCTTTCTCGGCATTTGTGTTTCTATGCACACTGACCCGTCTGCAACCTGCTTACCGTGACAGAAAGGACGAAGCGAGCCGATGTCACGCGCAGAATGGTCTTGGGGAACGCAAAAGACTGGCAGCCTCGCTTCATGATGTGAAACCTGTTTCCTTAGTTACAGAGAGGTTGTAAAAGAGGTATAACTCAAAATTAAAGCCTTTCGGCAGTTCAGTGTCTTTTACAAAGCTGGGCAGCTGAAGCACAGTTCATCCAGCAGGGAGTGAGCTCTTCTGTAGCAGGGTAGAGTCCTGTCCAGGTGGGACGCAGGTATCACAATCCACGAGGCGTCAAAGTCAGGCAGTACTGTGCATGAGCTCCCCGGAGAATGCAAATGGCATCCTTTTATAGATCTCAGGTGACTACAACAATCGGGGGAAAAGCAAAGTCAAATTGTCTGCCTGCACTCCTGGCAGGACATTAAAATCGTGCTCCTCACTCCCTAGAGCTAGAGCTACCCAAACACCCGGGCGCAGCATAGTAGAAACGTCCATGATGATGGGGAAAGAGCACATACTTGGTGAGGTAGTTGAGGCTCCTTGTAACACACAGGAGTTAGCTCCCGACATCAAGAGGCACTCAGGCTCAATTGCCCCAGACTTGCTGATTTAGAGCAGAGCTCAGTATTGAGTACTAGCTCGTACAGTACTATCTCGGGGTCACACCAAGCTCTCCACATGATTGAAGCCAAAAAACCTGCCAAACACAGCTGATGCAGTGGCTAGTACAGTCTTAGGGCTTATGAGGTTGTTGAACCAAGCAGAAACGGAAGGGATCTTTGAGTTTTTCGTGCCAGTAAGCAAATATGTTTGCCGACATCAATAGGTAAAGTATGAGTGTTTATTTCTTTGTCATACACTGTATGTGGCTGAATGCTCGTGATAATTTAATGTTAGTTTTAAAAAATAAATATATGCTGAAACACTCCAGATGGAGGCATGTACAGTACAGTAGACTAGCTGTGCGAGGCTCTGCAGATTTCACTGCGCCTCACGATGAGCGCAGCTTCTGCCGGCTGCTGTTTGAATTGGATCACGCGGCGAATCGCAGTCGCTTTAATTTCCATTGCTAACTGACACAGAGGCACACTGAGGCACTTAAGACGCTTCAGAGAACACGGTAAAGAAGAAGAGTTGTCACGATTGGCTTGGGTAGACCCACACGCTGTCCTGTGCTTACATTTGCTGCGCTTCATCTCAGAGTGTTTTCTCATTTCTGTCTGTGGATCTGGACCGGTCGGAGGAGCCAGGTCTCCACAGTGTTGATAGTGACTCAGATTTTCCCCGGATTAAGCTACAGGAGCCTCAGCTGTGATCCAGGGGGTCTTTGTTTTACATATCCTTCCATTTAACAACACAAAGTAACAGATTTGATGTACCACTGTTCCTCAATATCCCCTCTGCCCTCTAACCAGTAACTTCGCCAGTGTGAAGTTCCCTCCCAGTAAACAGAAGAGCAGATACTCAGGTGACTGAACACACAGGGTTACGTCCGCTTTGGTTCTATGCATTTGCCTAGATTTTAGTTCACGTCCCTCCCCAGCATATTAAACCTGGGTCTCTCTATCACAGACTACAGGCTGCTTCAGTACCATCTTCCAACCACCAGGGGGCTCCGAACCCACAGGCACCTACCTCAGTTACTCAGGGAACATTCAGACTACTTAGACCTCATCAACCAATCCCAGCACCTCTTCACCACCAGGCCTCCCCTTCCCAGCCTACTTAAGCCCAGTATTAGGTTTTCATTGTGAGAGTTGTTAATCTTGTTTACTTTGAGGCAGTGTTTGGCTCCTTTTTTTTTTTTTTTTTTGGGCTATGGATTCTAGCTTTGCTTTTTGACCATGACTTTTAGATTCTCCCTCAGGTATTTCTTGTTTTAAGGCCTTTTGGCTGTTGACCTGCTGCTTGTTTGGGCTTTGTATTTGGATGCCCCCTGTTTTCCAGCTCTGTAGTTCCCTGGATCTGCATAGGGTCCATTTCTTACTATTTCCCTAACACAGGCTCTGCATTTACTGTATTAGCAGATGTAACCCTGGTGACTGTTTTCTCTGTGATTACAGCATGAAGTGTACTGTAGGTCTATAGTGTTGTGGTGGGAATACAACTAAAACTGTATGTTACAATAAGTTTCACAGTAATGGATGGGTACATTGTGTATTGCTAAGGCTGTGTTTAGGGTGAAGACAGAGAGCAGGGGATCTGAGGTGTGTTTTTGATGAGGATTTATGGAAAACAATTGGTGAAAAATGTCAGTAATTTTCTATTAATAAAAGCAGTTGTTACAGTTTTCCTTAATTCATAGGATCTATTATACACTGTAGCAGTGTCAATTTCTGCTAATAAATGTATAGCTCAGAGCTATACAAGTAGTATGCTGACAAGATCCTTGTGTGGTTAGGAGAATTTACCTCCTATGGTATGTCACTACTAAAAACTTTTTATAACTTGAACAAAAATGTATTTGAGAAAGCTGTGGGAACCTTGGTTAGGCTTTTTCTCCCTTGAATAACACCAGTAGTTGAGTTAAACTTAATGTGCTGAGGCTTATGGTTTTGGTGTTTCATGCTAAATCTACAAACAAGGGTACTGTACAGCATCTTGCAGATTATTCAGTGTTAACTTAAACCCTTTTTAATGTTTGTTGTCTTATGTTTGGTATTTGTTTTTTTTATAGTTGTGCATCTGCAATATGTGTATCTCACTTATTACATATACACATTTATTTATAAGTAATAAAGATAAAGTTAACAAGAATTGATAAAATTCACGACTGGGCACTGGGATGATGCTTAATGTAGGCAAATGAAAGAAGCCGCTTGCAGGGAGCAAAAATCTAAAATACAAATTCACAATGGAGAAACTCTCCGAGCTAGAAATGTTGAAACTATTTTGCTCAATGTTGGTCACCACAGTAGAAGAGGTAACAGAAAATATATTGCTTCTTAGCCATCAGTTCAGAGAAGAGCAGCCAGCTCCATTTTGGGCTCAAAGAAATGTCCTGCACTGACAGGCTGAAGGAACTGAACCCTTTCAGTCTTGAACAGGGAGGACTGCAAGCGGACCTGATACCAGTGTTCATAATGGTTGTCAGTGCCTTTTAAATGTAGTCAATGCAATACACATACCTCACTTATTGCACATGCCAGCAAATTTTTGAGAATGAAGAGTGAGACACAATTCAGAATTGCGTAGAAGCACAGTTCATTTAACACTGACACAGGAAGCATTTCTCGCCTGAGGGTATAACCTGCAATATGATTGATGCCAATACCCAAGATTCTTTCAGGATTGTTGAGATTGTTGGCTCAGTTTAGTAACTATCAAATGGGCTAGAAGCACTGACTCTCTATTCAAGTTAAAAGCTGTGCTGTGTAACATAGAAACAATTTAGGGAATTTTTTCCCTTTAATTACCTGTTGCCTGACTATGAATTAGCTAATGGCACTTCTATACTGTGTGTATATCTAAATAATTTAAAATGTTAAGTTCTTTAATTGTCACTGTTATTGAGATACTTATTTTCTAATTTGGTAATTCTCTGTGAAGAGAGCTGTGTGGAGTGCTGCATTTTTTTAATCTTTTATAAAGATCACACCTCATCTTTATTTTTCTACCATGCACAGCGGTCTCTGGTGAATGGGAAGGGATGTGGTTGTCGTGGGGCTGTTACTGCGGTTAGCAGCAGAGGACAAAGTTACTCAGTGCCAAGACTCTGCAGAAGACCACACTCCATTGCTTCAGCAGTTTGTAAGTATCCATTTATTAATACAATACCGATAACGAAGATAGTGTTATCAAAACATTTAAAGGTCAACGATGCTCATTAGGGGGGGAAACAACTTTAATGGTGATACTTATTATGATACAAATAAGAATACCAATTGGTTCCGTAAGACTTACATTTTACTCTATTAAAAGATCTGAAAAATTAAACACTCCAGATTAAGATTTTGAAATCTATAAACTGTTTTTTTTTAACTCTGGGGGGGGGTGGGAAAAGTGCATTAGATTATTACAAGGGGTCATGATCTCTCAGAAACAATCCGTCTCCTTAGGGCAAACAGCTGCAGCCAGCCCTCAGGTCTCAAGCAGCTGTGAGTCACAGAAGAGAGACACCTGTTAACGGAGAGCAGGCCAAGGTCTCGCCTGCCCTTTCTGGAAGGGGGCACAGGTGGAAAACAGCAGTGTAGCCAGCATAGGCGTTTCAGGATCGAGAGACGCGCACAAAGGCTGTATTTCTTTTAGCCTTCAGATTTTAATTAGGACGTTCACAAATACACTTCTAATGCCTTCTCCCAAATAAGTTCCGGCAGAAGAAATGAGGGCATAACAAAGGCTGGGTATGATGGAGATACTGATCACGTGTACATTGTGTCAAAGATGTGTAGAATTCGCATGCATGAAATGGCGAGAGTGCAGTGGTGTGGGGTGGCAGAACAGACACTCCTTCCCTCCCAAAACACAGAACTTGTAATGTCACTTTGCTCTTCATGTTTGGCACATTTAAAAGAGCAAAGTTGTGCTATTTTCCCCCTGGTGCCGCTCTGGACATGCAAATAACAGGTGGCTAACACCTTCCGTCTGTAGAATATTTATGAGTATTTGTCATAACCGTGTTCCACCATTAATCAGTCGTCAAAGCCTAACAGTGACATTATCTAACTTGCCTCATTAATGTGAAATCTCTCTAGTCGTTTTCACAGCTCAGCATGAGAACATGAAGAGAGGACTGTGGGACCCTTGTTAATGTGGCCACTGTGCTGAGTCTCCTCTCTCACTTCACACACAGCTCCTGCGTGCCTTTCACCACATAGCAGGCCCACTTCCTGTTTGATGGACCCTACCATTCCTTTATTTTAAATAGTTTTATTTTGCTTCCGTTTTTTCAGACTTTTTGTGGTGTTTAACATAATTAATATCTCCCTGAGCCTTTAAAACTCCTACAGTCACTTTAGTGCTGTAAACTTCACATGGTGTAGGGGGAGAGCATATTGATTCTCTGAGAATTAAGTGTTAATTTCTAATCTTTGTATGATTTTTACTGACCTCAATTTCGTTGGTTAACTTGCTGATCTCTCTCCAGATGACCAGAGCTGACCCTGAAATAATGTTTTGCCTCTATGATGGCCTTGGTTAACATGAATGATTTGCATCCCATTTCTAACTTGTTTTGTCCTTGCAGTGCAACTATTCATCACACTATGGACTATATTGGAGAAATGTTTCCCACTTCCCCTTGGACAGTCAGCAGTCTCTCAGCACTTAAAGTTTTGATTTCATGCACATTGGAGAGAAACGGAGATGCTCGGAGT